CTTTTTTTATACACAAATTCACTTTCAAAAACATAACCTACCGTGAGATGTTTTCAGTGCATCAAGTAAAACGAGTGAAAACTAACTCCGGTTTCCCTTTATTATCCTCTGAAAACAAGTGCTACAAAAGTATTGAACTATCGAGGGTACCATAGAGTCATTGTACTAATGTAAGAAGATGTCATAAAGAAATCTCCATCCTTTACAGCGCTTTAAGTGTGAGCTGCTTGAAAACATTCCTTCTCGTTAAACTTGCCCATCAGCACAAACTTCCTGTCGGTTTACTCATGGATAAGAAATAACACATCGAAGAAATGATAAATAAATACATTTATAAAAATATATAGATTCTATCATTTAAAATGCTATTATATTTGTTTAATGTAAAAACATCATATTTAATGCAGTGTGCTCTGCATCATTCTTATTTCGATCCAAACAATTAAATTGCAATATCGTTGCGATGAATAAGCATCCAAATTTCCTCAAAGCTAATTCGCATGTTGCTCGTTGTTTGTACAGCTGTCTAAATTCAGTTGGAGTTGTAAACACCGCCATCGCGTGGTTTTTATGTCGACAAACCACAATGTTCTCTTTACACTCACTGTCTGAAAGGCGAATAGCCTACTTAATTGAAATACCTTTTAACTTGTTCTTCTTGTACTTCTCCACAGAATTCTGCCTTTAATCGGGTAGGCTACTTTTTTAAACGTTTTTTTTTTTATCAGTTCACATACGGAAGCCGCGTAACGTTGTGTTGATGGACAAAAGCCCAGTGATGAGTGTCATGACAACGGCAAAGTCAATTTATGATTCGGTATTTTACACAAAACCAAAGCCTGAAATCAAACATACAAAAAATCTTGCAAGCATTGTTATTTACTTAAAGAAATATTTTGCACTTAAATTCGTTTGAACTTGTCTTGTCTTGGTGTTTTTGGTGTTTTCCCTAGCTAGTGGCAAAGATTACAACCCTTTTTGGTTTATGATAACGTGCACTTTGACATAATAGCGGAAATATAATCTGATGCCACACATGAGTAAGCTCATCAGCACGAACACTAACGCGACTGGTATTTGGGGGAATTTTGTGCTCAGGGCCATAATAAGTCCATTTCCGAAGTCAGGGATCATTCTGCTTTAAAGATGCATATTTACAAGAGTAAATATAGCCTAGGCATACAGTAAAGCATTCTATTGCATTCATCAAGCATTCTATTGCTATAGTGAATTATAATTAATTAAAATGACATCTAGTTCATAGTTTGGAATATTTTCGACATTTTGTATTGGTGCTGATAACCACATGTCTATTACTATATTAACACCGTAGTGAGCAGGCATATAGAATTTTGACGAGAACTGTTTACAAGGGGTTTGCAAAAGTAGATTAAAATATAATAAACTATAATTAGGCAATTCAATTATTGATCAATTATTGATTAGATCTGATCGTCTTTAATGGATTTTAGATTGTCTAAAATAAATTTGGCACAGTCTTATGTAACCATGAGGTCTTTATTTGTCATAGGAAAGCTTGCAAGTGCAACCGTTTCATTTAGTAAGATTTGGTTTAGTCACTTAGTCAATAAACTTTGTTTCCGCTCGTCCCGGGACTCGACTGAAACGCTGATGATTAATACGCGGTGAGTCAAATGCGCAGCTGGACTATTTATGTCCCCTAAATATAGAGCCACGAGCCGTTCACTCTCAGTGCAGAGCAGGTCACTGCTTTACTTCACTTCTAGGTACAAACAGACATTATGTTTATTCATTCTATTTTTTATTATTTATTTAGCCTATTTAAACTATGCCTTAAAGCCTCAGTCATTCTTGAGACATGGGACAAAACAGGTCCAGCAAGGGTAACTGCTATTAGGTTTAAAAATAAAAATATTTTCAATTTTAAATGTCATAAGGGATTAATAATAGAATGTATTTAACACAATTATCACCTTCAATTTAATTTTCTCATTATTATACCAAATCTATGTTTCTTAATGTCCTCTCACTACATCTAAAACAGTGTGTCCACAGAGAAGGGTTCAATCATTCATATTCAATAAAATGGATAAAAATGTTTTTTGTTTTTTTTTATGATGAAAAAGAGCTTGTTTTATCAAAAGCAACACTTAATAATATCTCCTATCAAAGCAAGGTTGTTTTTTAATGACACATGCATGTTTAATATGATTTTAAAGTTGCGTCCCCACTTTTTGTCAACACCGTCAGACATTCAATAAAATGTAATAAAATCAGGGAATATCAGGGGCAGCCGTCACTCTAAAGGAGCCCCTTGCCACAGTTCAACTCTGCAGAGTACATCAGCGTCAGACTGTCAGAGTTTTAGTTTTAGAATATTTTAAATCCTAATGTTAATATCTCCTGTGTCACAGCCATGATATGTCAACACCATCTTCCAATTTCTGAGGAAATTATTTGAAATATTTAGATCATTTTATTCTCCTGAAGCAGGTTCCATTAGCATCTAGCATCAACAGAAAAAAAATTTGTGTTCCAATCTATCAAAACACTTAAATGTGACTCTTGAATAAAAGCTTTATAAACAATAACATACTCACTGTTTGTTGTGTTTGTTTTAATACAGTAATTGACTGATTCAATGTATTTGATAGTTAAAATGACTACAACTTCAGGTTTTCGTCACCACCGTCAGATGTGTCACCTCCGTCAGTTGAATATTTTGATAATATTTCAGTATGATATTTTATATTTGTTGTGGAATTGTTGGTCACATTTGAAAGTGTAATCTGTCTGCTAACACGAGAATGTGTTTTGAAATGTTAAAAACATCTTGAATGCTGTTAAAGATAAAGCTGAAATTATATTACACAGTGAAAGCATATCTCAGTAGCTTAGTACATATAAGATACATAAATGTAGTTTCATTCGTCTGAGTACAAGGTTTTATTTTTTCAATTTTGCACCCTGTTTTGTCCCACTTCTCAAGAATGACTGGCCTACAGGTAATTGATCTGGGTTGGTACAAGAAAAGTGCTTCTAGGATCGATATCATGAACTAACAGGAGAATGGTTGCTCTGAGTACTGTAAATCACTTTGTGTACAAATGTTAGTTAAATGACTGTAATGAATAGCATAATTCAGTACAACAAATCCCGAAAAAGGAGAAGGAAAAACCTAAAAGTATATAGTATTATATTCACGTCAACAGCTTAAATATTTAACAACGTATGTCTAATAAATTGTTTATTTGGATGGGGTTAAAGTTAAACAATATTCACCGCCATTCAAGTTTTTCAGAAATAATGATTCATCGTTGACACACAGCCTTGAATAAGAGACTGTGTTAAATTTACTCCACTTCCTACAATAATTTAATGTTTTCCTGTGGTCGGATGACTAGACCAAAGAAAACTTCCAGAATTTACTCCCACATATTGATATTTTCCTTTTATCTTAGATAATCACTAGTGTGTTCTCCATAGAGTTGTGAATCAGCGCGAGTAAAAACACAAGCATGTTTAATATGCACTATGAATCACGAGCGTGACTAACGCAACAGGAATAAACTTTAATCTATTAAAGTATCAAATGCAGCTGAAGTCAGTCTTTCAAGTCTCACGACTGACATCTATTGCCCGCTTTGTCTAAGAAAAAAGCGCAATATTAGACAGCAAACGCACAATACCAACTTGGGATATTATCAGAGGCATACTTAGGCTAACTGCTTACTGCACAGTATAGCCTACTATTTATTACATTTATATACCTAATATTATATACTTATTATATGTCACCTAGCCTGATTATTCAATTCAGCAAGCATTAAGTACCTTCTCAAATTACTCTGGTTACTTTGCATATTTATCCAGTTTTGTATGCATATGTAGTCTGTCCTAAATGTTGGCAATCCAATAAAACAATAACAACAAAACTTTTTTTTTACAGTATTCAAATAAGCATTGAGGTATGTCCATATTCAATGTTTGCATGACATTCTGTAGACTAAATAGCATAGATGTATCTTTCACTGCAGATGATAACTCCTAATCATATTGTAACGGCCACCTAATATGTTATGTAACTTTAAGACGCCTGTGATGTCATGCGTTGTCTAGGTGGGTGTGTCTGTGTAGCGTTTGCACTGGTGGTGATATTGCAGACTGTTCTACTATACTCTGCTCCAGAAAGCATCCTGGTTATTGTATTTTTTTTTTTTGTAATTCTGCCAGAGTGTCTTGTATTTTTCTCCCCACTCTTTTCCATGTATGCGGAGAGTGCGAGGATCCTTTGAAGCTACGTATAAGGACGTATGGGATCACCAACTCTATCGTCTGAGTATTCTTTTCCTTCTTTTATTTCCTGACATCTGGGCAAATCCTACAACACTCTGGTGGACGTTACAATATGTTGTTGGTGGAAAGAATGGTTCTGATAAAGTGAATGATTATCATTAGACATGATCTTAGGGTTGGAAGCCTGTTATTTGTTTAGTATCTTACAAAAACACTGTCTGTCATACTGTGGACAGTGTACATACTGCAGACACAGCAAGTGTAATATAGTAATATTATTCTGAATAATAGCCCAACAGTCAGTTAAGCTTCAGTTTTGAAATATTAAACATTATAATGCATTTTTTGCAATATTTCTGACATTATTTTATATTAAGTTTTTTTTCTCAAATCAATTTATACAAACTTCAAAATGCAATCTTTAAAATTTAACATTGCATTGTGCAGGTGGAATCGATAATTTACATATACACAAAAAGTCTTAAAAATCACCATTTCAGAAAAACTGGGTAAAACAGGTTATCCAACCTTTGCGTTTACAGCTTTGAAATTAGGCTGTATGCAGGAGGAAGTATCACCATGACGACAAGGGTTATCTTTGTTCACCATGTGTTTCCTGTCTAAGTGAGGTGTTTAGTGCAGGGGATATAACAGATCTACGGCTAACACTCAAGAGGTGCCACTTCATTGTTTAATGTGCTCATGTTAAGTGTGGAGGGTTTTTAACCATACTGGGCTGCCACTATATGCTGCTGTGATTCTGGGGTTTAGGATACAGTGATGGCAGGGACATGGTCAGAGGTCTGGACATTGTACCTCATATTGGCACTTGGTACTCCAGACCCCTCACCAGCACCCCAAGAGAAGCTCCATGACTTCAGAAGAATCTTCTTGGGTTTGGATAAATGCAACGCCTGCATTGGAACATCCATTTGCAAGAAGTTTTTCAAGGATGAAATAAGGTAAACTAGTATTTTTGCTATTAAGTCAGAGAAGAATATTCTCTTTGTCCTTAAAGAGAGTTTTTAAAGATATACTACAATACAAGCATAGGATTCCCCAGAACAAGGTATCCAAATGTCCAAATACAAAAATGTCTAAATATTGAAGTTAAGTGATCTAATATACTATAATTAGGTACATTTTTAATGAACTATCCAGCTTAAATAACTTTCTGCTTGTAGCCTATATATGTTCAAATAAGAGCATTGCATGCTATTGGAAAATCAAAAGACAGTCAAAATTGTCTTCAAAATGTGCAGCTCACAGTATCTAATCATTGATCCGAGGGAGCATGAGCAATGAAAGCAAAAACAGGAAGCTAATGTGGACACTGATTATTTCACCGCAGGTTTGAAAGATGGCTGACCGCTCAGTCTAATCTCTCCTCAGCAGATGTGCGTTCATATGAGGGGAACTATACAGACAGCACAGCGGGCTGGAGACCTCTGGTGCTGTCCCGCTTGATGTCTCCTCCCCTGCAACAGATATCAGACAATAGCATTTGCACCTCAGCAGGCAAAGGGAAATCCTGCAGCATTGAAGCTGTCCTCAGGGCCACGTCACGCTTCCAAAGATGGGTCCGCTCCAACCTACTGCTTCCCATCATGGTGAAGGTCTGCATTCAGTCTCTGTATTCTGATGTCTATTTGAGGTCAGCAGTGGTTGAGGATTTAAGGTCTGAACAATTAAATTTCAAAGGGTTATTTATTTGAAAACTAGGAGGTGCCAATTTAGCACTTACAATGTGGCAATTTTTTTCTTAATTAACAATGGTTCTTAAAGTTTTGGTGAAGATGAAGGTAACAAGTGTAGTTCTTCCTTTGTAGCCAAACTTTAAATATGTTATATGGGAGTTTCTTCAACTTTGGGCATGTTTATGTTCCATTTCTAAATTGCATGTAATTTCCCCCCACAACAAACCATTTTGTTTTAAATAAAGTGCAAAACGAAACGAACCCATAGTTGAATAAACAACACCCTATAGATATCATTTGAAAACGTATGAGTTGTTTTTTTTTTTTTAATCAACTCTTTCTCTAAGGGTCTGGTGACCCCGATGCTGAGCTGTCCATCTCAGAGGCTGCTGGACCGCATTGTGCGACGCTACTTTGAAGTGACCGATGTGGGAAGTGTGCAGATGAAGCACTTCAGTGAAAAGGACAAACTCAGACTTCTTTATACCCTGGCTGTCAATCAACAACCTCTCATAATGCAGGTATAACAATAAGATGGCCGCCAATTGCACATTGTGCAGCAATTGAGCATGACGCTTGCAACGTCAAGGTCATAGGTTCGATTCCCAGTGCATTCCCAATGCATGAACTCAGTCTTGAACACAGCGGGGGACCAAATTGTTTTATAAAATATAAACAAACAGAATGGTGAAGGAAATTTTAGGTCTAATTCTAGTTGGGAAGTAATCATTTTGAACTATATGCAAATAATATTTAAAATATGCACACATTAGCATTACTTGTATGTCTAATATTTCGAAAACATAAAACGTTTCTTGCCTCGTCACATTCAGTTACGAATTAACGTTACATGATTCACGCAACTGCTATGCAAATTATTTGAATTTTCAATTTAAAATGGCCAGAAAAAAACAGTAATCTTGCAAAATGTTATTACAATATAAAATAATGGTTTCTATTTTAATATCCTTTAAAATATAATTTATTTCTGTGATGCAAAGCTGAATTTCCTTCAGCCATTACTCCTGTATAAAGTGTCACATGATCCTTAAGAAATCATTCTAATAAGCTGATTTATTATTATAATTATCAATGTTAGCAACAGTTTTTTTATTAACAGTATTTTTTTGGAAACCGATACTTTTTTCAGGATTCTTTGATGAATAAAAAGTTAAAAAGAACAGCATTTATTCAAAATATAAATCTTTTTAAATTAGATTTTAATGTATATTAAAATAGAAAAATTTTATTTTACGTCATAATATTTCACAATATTAAATTTTTCCTGTATTTTTGATCAAATAAATGCAGCCTTGATGAGCATAAGAAACTCCTTTAAAAAACATAAAAAATCGTTCTGATCCCAAACTTTTGACGGTAGTGTATATATAAAGAAAGCGCAAATGTACAAACTGGCATTGCATGCTCGAGCTCCCTCGCTTCCTGTTTTCAGCCCTACTTTTGACTTTTCTGCCTACAGATGTTTCCAGGCACAGAGGGCTGGCCCTTCCTCCGCTACCATGGCTCCTGTGGAAGGATGATGGTCTGGGCAGGGAGCAAACCCCTCAGGAGCCTGTTTTCCTCTCCGTTGGAGCGCCGTGCGGACATTGCCTACCAGCTTCTTCACATCACCCAGAGCCTGAGCTCCAACAGCCTCCAGTTCAGCCTCTTCTACACGAACATCTCAGAGGACATGTTTGGTACCTTGGATGATAGCAGGGTCTTCATTGTGGATACCACTACCATAGGGATCATTGACTTGCAGGAAGGTCAGTTCTGGCTTAGTCACATATGTAGCAACCTGTAAATAGATTTTATGGTAAAATATTGCTTTTACCATGTACACAAACAAACTTACTTTGTCATGTTTCAAGTGTAATTCAAGTCTTCTATTCATTAAAGAATCCTGGAAAAATATTAAGCAGCACAACTGTTTTCAACATTAATAATAATAATGAGAATTATTTATAGAATTATTGAATTTATAATATTCCTTGAGCACCAAATCAGCATAGAATCAGAGTAGAATGATTTCTGAAGGATCATGTGACAGTGAAGACTGGAGTAAACATGCTGAAAATTCAGCTTTGCCATCACAGGAATAAATTACATTTTAAAATATATTCAGATAGAAAATAATTATTTTAAATTGTAATATTTCACAATATCATTGTTTTTTTTACTGTGTTTTGATAAAATAAATGCAGCCTTGGTGAGGACAAGAGAATTCTTTCAAAAACATTAAAACATTTTATCAACCCCATTCTTTTTAACAGTAGTGCAAATAAAATGTAGAAAATAAAATAAATTAAATTAAAAAGAGATCATCAGTTTTTTAATTATTCATGACGTAGGTTTACCAGTGGCGGAGCTCGAGTTTTATACATGGGGTGGCCAAGGCTAATTCAGGGGGCACATAGACCATGACAGAAAATCAGTGTATGACTCCAACCTGGCATAAAAAAGCATGACAAATCCTACGATTACTGATTACTTCACATTACCCTACATTAGCTATACATTCCTACCGTAACTTCAAATGTTAGTCTATTGGAACTTATTTCTCTATCATATGATTAACCAGCGGTTGGATCAAAAGATCTAACATTAACTTATACAGTGAATTTTGTAAATGCTGTTCAGGAAACCTAAAACTTCAACTTACTTCAAACAGGGCTGCCAACGTTGAGTTCAGCCTGGAGTGAGAATTTATTCAGGAATAATTTGCAAGCTTGCAATTAAGTAGCCTAAATGTTTTTTCTCTCTCATTTTTTCTAATCTAAACTATAGGCAGGGAACCCTATTGTTAAGGTTTCATATTAGACCATTTTTTAGAATAAGGTGTACATTCTAGAATAACGTGACCATTTTTTACTTGTGTACATTTTTCTTGGACACTGAATGGATTTTCTGCGGTTATGTAACAATGTTTTGAAGCTGCTGTCTTTCCGCGGTTGAAACACTCATTGAGTGATTACATGAGACATAAATTCAGTAAGTTGTAGTGTATCTTTCAACACGCCCTCGGATATTCATTCTTGTTTATTTCATGCTAATTAGAATTAGCACTACTGCTTTGCTTGAACTGAGGCAAAGCGGGAGCGCATGTGAACCATCACGCCACTAAAGAGCTCCAAAACTGTATCTATCGTTTCAAATTCTTAATAAAACTAAAAGAATTTGAATGCTGAGAATTTGTTTCCTATTATCAAAAGTAACCTGCTCTGTCTTGTCTGTCAGCGTGTTGTCGATGTCCTCTCTTTGCTCTGCGATGTAGGAAAATGAACGTGTGGCCTGAGTTAGCAGAGGCTGGAAGCTACACCGGCTGAGATGAAGCGCGATGCAGCACACCAGATGCGTCGTGTCCTTGAGTTTGAGGCTTAAATAAATGCTTCTTTCAGTACTATTAAACAAGGAAAATTAAATAATAGGATATTAAATTTTGGGGTGGCCAGATGTCAGGGGTGTTCAGTGCCACCCTGGACACCCCTCTGGTTCCGCCACTGAGCTTTACTGCATAGTGATCATTTATTGTTTAACCACATCTGGTGCTATGTCATACATGTGTTATACCTAAACTCATTATTACATTGCTCCTTCCTGCAGGATATCCTCCTGATGAAGACTTGCTAACAGAACACCTCGATGTCTTCTCCTGTCTCAGTGGATCTTGTGAAAGACCGCCTCCGTGTGAAACTGTTCGAGCTGCACAGAGTTTTATCCTACTTTGCAAACATGTCATCAACAATCTGCTCGTGCCTAATGATGTGCAGTCAGGTCATCTTCCCAAAGAAGCAGTCAGTGCTCTCGCTATCTGTGCAGACCAATCGCAGTCTGACCAAAGAATAATTGCTGCAGCCCAAACCTTAAAAGACATTTTACAGACATTAAGGCCATGCAGTGCTCTCTATGGATACAGGTATCCTGAATGCCTCTATAGTGACAAGTTCTAAACCAAAACTAACCACTTAAAAGGGATAGTTCACCCAGAAATGAACATTCTGTTATCTTTTACTCACGCTCATGTTGCTTCTAAACTTGTGTGACTTTTTCTTCTGTGGAACATAGAAAATATTTAAAATAAAAAATTTTTGTTTTGTTTTTTCTTGTCCATACAATAGAAGTCAATGGTCTCCAATGGTCTTCTTCAAAATATCTATTTTGTTCCACAGAAGAAGGTCGTACAGGTTTGGAATAATAAGAAAGTGAGTAAATGAGACTTTTCATTTTTGGGTGGACTATCCCTTTAAGGCGGACTATCCCTTTAAGGCCTATTACTGACAGCATAAAGGTCACAGATACTTTCTGAACCTGGCAGTATGGCAATATAGAAAATAGCACTTAAGACAACCATGACATGAAATGGAGTGTGTAACATCATCAGTAATCAGTATATATCCAGTGAAAGATCTTTATGTTATCAAAGCACAGTCAGCAAACAAAGACTTATGCAAATAAAAAAAGAAAAAGTCTATTCAAATTGTATACATGTTATAATTCATGGACGAGACAAGGCATTTCATCACAAAAGAATCATTTAATTACAAAGACAACTCTGATTAGTAACCCATAAACCATATCAATCTTCATGTTTCTGTACAATGGTCGCTAAGCAGTTTTATTCATGTATAGAAAATGTAAAAAGAGAAATGTTCAAAATGACATTACTCCATAAAATTTAATGGCAGGAACTCTGGAAAAAAAAATAAAATACCAGCATTCCATCAACAAATATTTTCAAGCAATAAATATTTATAAATAGTGTAAATTTACAACAAGATTAGAAATATAACACAAAAAACACAAATTAATGTTTATTCCTTAGTCTGTGCACAACCCATTTTTCTTTGTGACTTGGCTATCCCCCTCCAACTTAACTTTTTCCTTAAGAAAAAGAGACAAAACATTTTTAAAAAGGAAAAAAAAATTCACATTACAAAATTTCTTTTTTGTTACCTAAAGAAAATGTTGAACAAAAAAGCCCAGCTACGGTAGTACTTAAAGAGGAAATAAGATTCAAAGAAAATCATGTATTAGCTCGTACATGAAGTACAGAAAAAGACAAAAGAAACAAAAACAAAAAAAGAGGTTTAAAGCAACAGTAAAAGAAAAAGGAAGAGTCAGTAGTTTTGAGTGATTTTGCCTTTTGTGGTATATACACAAAACCATTTTTCCTCAGCAATTAGTCTATTTGTAGTTTGTGTTTCAAAGAGAAGTGGTGCTGAACAAGCTGAAACAGTCCTGAAGATGGAGACGATCCCACTTCACTCCAGTGGGCCGAAACTCCATACTTGGCAAGGTTGCATAGACAAACAGCTTAGAACCAGCAGCCTTGTGGGGTTTGCTACAGAAACCAGTGGTGTGGAACTGGGTCAGGTCTCCTGAATATCAGAAAGAGATGCGTTGCGTTCCAGGGTGTTATCCGAGGAACCGTTAATGTTAACGTCAAGTTGAGGAAGAGGGCAGGGGTGGGGCCTGTGGAAAGACCCAGAGGATATTAAGCATGCTCTTTTCTTGCTATCTGAGACTATTAATCATACAAATATAAAAAAGGTGATAGAAAAGGTTTATGCAGAGATCTATAGAAGGCAAGGGCTTCTCAAGATAAGGGCTTTGAGACTTACTAATGTGAATTGGTCATACACTTGCATGAGGTCCTCTATTCTGTACTGCTCTAAAACCACAAAGTTCTCAAGGTTAGGGCTGCATCTCTGAGCACAGCCCTGGCAGTGCACCACGTATGTCTTACGTGAGTTGCTCTCACTGGTGACAAACAGCAGATCAAAGACCTCCACCTGGGATAAATATATATATATATTAAAACATATGCATGAATAGAAAAGATCCAATCAAATAAAAATGGAAAATGGGAAGATATAATTAAAACAAACTGAAATATAAATAAATAAAAACCCTTAACTGTAGTTTTTATGTTTCTGGCAAAACCAGGTTTTATGGCAAAAGAAACAGGTAAAAATGTAAAAATATGTATTTTCTATTATATTAATTACCTAATGGTAAGCAAAGTGTCAAGACAAACTTTGAATGTTAACTTTACAAAGCCTTGTATGAAATTTGTTGAAAAAACATTCTAGGATCTATAAATAAACCCTTGTATAAAATTTGTTGAAAAAAAAAATTCTTGAATCTAAAAATGAATATATTTCAACATCACAGGCATGTTTTTCATCCATGATCAATGTGATCTCAACATGATTGCCATGATAAGTAAGATGCAGAATAAACACAGAGGTCTTTTAGAACCACTTAATTTTTAATGACGCTTCCAATTGTTTGTGATTAAAGGATAAGAATTTTCAAAAATCTATTTAAATAGAGATCACATTTGCAAAGTGAAATGTTAAGCCAACGAATAACTAGCTGAGCATAACTAGAAATACTTTAAATAATATACTTAAATACTTGACATTTTCATGACTTTTCCATGCATTTTTAGAATTTAATTATTTTTAATACTTTTTTTCAGGGCTGACAATTTCCAATTTTAAACAAATGTGCCAAAGCAACCATTTACTTCGAGTGTAAAACTATTTTCTGTTATTTAAAACTTGCATACAATACAAATCTAAAAAACTTTGGTGAAGAATACACACCTCACAGATGCTACAGTAGTGAGCAGGTTCGTCCTTGGTCCTTCCATGCCAAACTAGCTCTTTTCCAGCAGCTATAAGCGCCTCCCTCAACGTCTGACACTGCTTTAGTGTCCTCAACAAACAGTACCTGAGGAGGAGGAACAAACCTTATTTAATAATTCCGTTAATCTGCTTGAGATTTCAGTCAAGAGAAACTTTGTCATTGCGACTTCTCAAAGAACCACAATCGTAAATGTACTGGAGTAGACTCACTTGATCATCTCAAAGAGTTTGTGGTCTGACACTTTGATGTTCCTGGCCATGTTCCAAGAGAGGTGAATCATGGGAACAATGGATTTAACATTCTGGAGTTTGTTCCACTCATAGCGTTCCACAGCTGACTTGTACTGATGCACTGACGAAGAACAGATAAGAATTAGACACTTTGATCAATTAACAAATAGATTAACTACATTTTAACAAGGTTTAGAGTAAAGCACCTAAATACAAGCAATACTGATATTATATTTCACTTTACAAGGGTGTAAAACCTCGCTTTCTTCAAAATTGTAACATTTAAAACCAAGTGAGCTGCCTACCAAGACAGCCTTTTTTTATGGACTTTGTAAATTAAATATAATATATGTATCCTTCATTAATTCATAAAGTGATCTCAAAATACAAAATAATTAAGAAAAAAGTTAATTACCACACAAAACCAAGAGAATTAGATTGTTAATAGATTTTATTATACATATACAATTAAAAATATAGAATATCTTAAAAACCTATACAAGATTTTCAAAGCTTTAAGATTGAATGTGACTTTTAAACAGCTGAAACTATCTTTTTTTAATTTAGAACATAAAAAAAAAAGATTTAAAAGCATTTTAACAAGTTGCCAATGTAGAGTGCTCTGAACAGTCACTTTAGACATTCAACAATGATTCAGTCACTCCCTCAGAAAACAGCTGCATATGTAGGCAGTTGGTCTTCAGAAGCTCACAAGGTTTTAGAACAGATCCAGTGGTCTAACAGCAGTGATAAGCAACTATTTACCAGTTAGTGGTCCTACATTCCAGGCAATGTTGTTGCACCAGCCGATAGCCTGAACCCAATGCACAGAGCCTGTATTAAGCCAGACCAGATCACCTGGTCGCTGGATAAAGCGATACACTGGAACATTGGCCTCACACAAATCCTCTAGATTTGGCCACCATGAGCCCATTAGGTAATTTATATTATTCCTGCATAAAGAATATGTCAGTCAGTACATATGCAAGCCATACAAACATGCTAAAATTCATATTTTACATTAAACCCAAAGTATGGTGTTTTAGTAGAATTAAAGCATTTTTGATTGTGCTTACTTTTCACAGAAGTCATTCATGACACCCCAGTACGGCTCAGGAACGGCAGACCATTCGCAATCTCCAGGGCCGATGTTAATGTTCACAGAGCAGAAGTTGTTATTTTCTTGATGACCTGAATGGAAAAAATTAATCGTTTAGTATTTTTATTAACATCCCTACATTCAACTCTGTAACGTCTGTATTTGAGCGCTGCCTCTGTAAAGCACGGCGAGATGTGTATGTGCTGGCATGCCAATGAGCTGACCTGGTGTCCTGCTGCCTGGGACCTTCATATACAGCTGGACTGTGTTCATGCCGAGAATGGTGTGGCCCACATGACTGAGCAGATTCCCTGCAGACACCACCCGCATGAAGGCAGGCAGCTTACTTAACTCAGCCAGCTGCAGCTTCCACCTGCAAGGCCACAGGGCAGAGAGGTCAGATGCAGCGACCTAACATGTCTCCCTGTTCCATCACAACTCTATGAGTCTGTCTGAACTCTGCAAGAGGTCTGAAAAGGCCCATTTAACACTCACACAATCCTCCTTCAGATTTCAATTAAACTCTCTCTAGAGCATCTTGATGAAGCACTAAACCACATGAGGTGTGCATTAAAGTGATTTTATTACTGTTAAAGGGTTTTAAGCACAACATGAAATAGAGTGCCTTTTCACCATTAAAGAAAGAAGTGTTTAAAAGATTAGTTATTTCAGATTCTGCTAGGTGACAATTATCCTAGAATTCATCAAATTGATCAAGAACTACTGTAAAGACATTTGTTAAAAATTACTGTAACTATTTCTATTTTAAATAAATTACAAGAAATACAAGTGTAATCAATACACTGTAGCTATTTCACACTTCATGGAGCATCATTTTCTACCCAGAAAAATTTCTCATATTTAATAAGAAATGTAATAATAATTTTCTCAATTACAAAATTAGCACATTAGGAAGATTTTTTTTTTTTTTACAGATTATACAACAAATGTTCTTATGAAAGCTCTATTCAGCACTCCAGTCTACAATCAAAGCTAAAATTTCACATTTTAAAATCATAATTTTCTCTCATTATGATAAATTATAACCAAATCTTGGATTCAATCTTTGTCAATTTGTTTTCTTTCAATTAGGATTGGTTGTAGGGCTCATTGATCTAAGCTTTTTCACCTCAGAGTCAGTAAGTTTAGTCCAATGTGATAACAATAACTAGCATTTTCAGGAAAAAGGAAATCTCTGTTGGTCAAAACAACATGAGGGTTAAACTGTAATCATAATTTACATTGTTACTGTTTTTGATAGTATTTTGTCTGGTTGAATGGTAGTATATATATATATACGCTGTCATATTGGCCCTACCGATGCTTGATCACAGCTGTGCCTATATCTGCAATTTTACAACCAAATGTTGTGCCTGCAAATGCATTTTCATTAAACAAGTTGTGGCTTCACAATGGCTTTGGGACTTTAATGCATACAAGCAGATCTGCAACTTTCTATTTCATGTTAGATGGTTTGCACTTGAATAAAGAAACATTTAAAAGAGGAACAAAACCAGTGAGCACTTACTTTTTCTCATCTGACAAGTCAATGTTGGTCCCAAACTTGATGTGCTTAAAGGGACCTCTTCTTCTGCGGACCACACTGAAACAAACGCAGGCTCCAGTTAAAGACTATGGTTCTGTCAAAAGTGTTTAAAACATTTAGACTTTAATTGAACATGGACTTACTTTTCTGATGGAGCAGATTCTGTGTCTGAGTGGTCTTTCTGCCCTTTCTTTTCATTTTCCTCCTGTTAGATACAAAATGCGAAAAAGCAACCATTAGAATCAAAGCACCAATCATGAAGTGTTTCACAGTATCAATAGCATTCAGTGTCTATCTTTGGGTGCTTTTACACTTGGTTTGATTGCTTGGTCCGAACCAGAGTTCAATTGCTGTCCCCGCTGGTTTGTTTTCACACGGATAGTTTTTGGTTCCAAACCACGGTACGTTTGTGTCATCATAGCAGCAGCTGTTCATCCCTTTTGCTAGGTAAAAACTATGTAGAAGACGGCAAAATGAATGGATGCTTGCTTGCTTCATTTTTGTACTTTGGAATTTAAAAATGTAGCTTCGTTTCCAAAGCGCCAACACAGCACCACATGCGTCTATTAATCACGACTGTAATGCAAAGGTTCAAAAGAACACGGTGCGAGCAGAAATGAGATATAAATTCTCTCTGCTGCAGCATGTCACTCACGCTTATCAGGAAAGCGATTGAGTAAACACACACATACATATTTTGATCAATTCATAGGTCATTAATAGCAGTTCACTTCCGTGATTTAGTACGACTGCATTCACATCAGAAGCAAACCGTACCGGAGTTTGCATGAACCACACCCCAGACCACCCTTTTTAGGCGGACTCGGGTACAGTTCGCGGGTGAGCACCAAAAGTGCTAGTGTGAAATGGCATGACAGTCACACAAAAACATACAAACACTCAAACTCCTGGCACGAGGAGCAAATGTGGATTGTTGACATACTGGCCCCACTTCAGAGCGAATGGACAATCAAGAGTGCAAGATTCTAGCCATTATTTTTTGTATGTGTGTTACGACCAAGAAATCTAAAGCCATGTTAAACTGATGCCACTAATGAATTATTCTCTCAACATTTTAGGATTGCATGTTTTTTTATTATGACAACTCACCCGCAACGATTCCTGGAAAGACGAGGCCTGGTATTGAGCGTATCTGGCGATGGTGGTGTGAGACCGGCTGCTCTCAAAACGCCACATCTTCCTGCTTCCCGTCACATCCCAGTTCTCATCAGTGGGCTGAGATAACTGAGTCCTCACCTCCACCAGGTGCTCTGGGTTGGCCTCCACCAGAGTCTTGGTAGAGAACAATCCTAGGTCTGGCATGAAGAGAAAGACACCAAAATGTCAACCGATGAAAACAAATAATAATTAATTAATTATTAATTATAAAAATTAATTAATTCATTCAATATTTAATTATTAAATAGCAATAATAACTATTATTTTTTATTATTATTAATTCAAAAGGTTTTTTTTTTTAAGGCATGGTTTTGGAGGGAATGTGTGATTGAAATTTTCAGCATTTTTAAATTAGCAACAAGAGACAATAGAGGAAGGATACAATTGGGAATCAAACGGGAATATGAGGTTTAGGTTTCAAACCCTTACACACAAATTGGGTCCAAATGTAGAAAAATATGGACAAACACTTTTTTGCTATACAATAAAAATGCCATTTAACATGACAGGAGTACTCAAATTGTCCAAATGGCCCAAATTTTCCTGACAGCAACTTTCCAGCCAATAATGAAGAAATATACATAAATGGTCTAACATTGAAAGACCATGACAACACATTAACAAGGATACAATATCAGTCCGAATCTAATTTAAAAATGTTGTCAATATTTCATAAAATACTTCTATTTTCTCTAGTAAGGTGACCATTAGAGCCCATCTCACAGCAAAATTATATATTCCATCATGTCCTTTACGAGGTTTGAAAAGCAAGTACATAAAAACTCCATTTATGCAGAATGCTGCTGCTGCTGTTTTTTTTCTGTGGTGGGGATGCTCCCATGTAATGCCACTTTCAACATGCAGATGGTGCTGTTGTCATTTACACCCAAATCATCCTGAAATGTGTGTAAAACTCTAAGTCTGTAGTGGTGCTAGTTAAATTTCTGACCGAGTGCTGCTCAGTCACAAAACTACAACATAATAATTTAAACAAAGGTGCTAATACACAACAAAACCCATAAAAACCACAGATCAGTGCTCACACGTACGCAGTGCTTTGGCAAGCACTCAAATGTGCACAAGTGCCCAAAAACACACTCTCACCTAGTTTGAGGGCTCCAGCCAAGCCACGGATCACTGTAACGGGGTTGGCTGCGTTTGTGCAGAACTGGTGTAGAGGCGGAAAAAAAGCGTCCCTCTTGTTCTCCAACTGCCAAGGATTTAAAAAGTAGGTTTAGGTGACTGGAGAAAAAAAGCTTGGAATTTAAAAAAGAGTGTAAAAGTGCACGCATAAATTAAGGTCAAACAAAGTTTACTTCTTTCCCATGGCAACAAATGCTTTTAATCGGTGCAACTGGACCTTGTATTTTGACTTGTAAATAGCATGACGGCAGTAATACTAGAATGAGTAGTTAAAGAGCATCCAGGCTGCACCGTGTCAGATGTTGGTGATGTTTCACTCACATAAATACTAGGAGTGGGAGGATTGAGCTTGTCCTTTGGCAGAGGAGGGAAGGGTGCAGGTGGTAACCGTGGAGGGGGACACTTGTCCAGCAAGATGCTGTTACTGGACACACCATTCTTCCCCAGGTTTCTGTAAAATAATTTTCATGAGATATTAATTAGCACATGTCCAGATGGCTATACATAATATAATATAATAAAAATCATAATACATCATTTTTATCAAAATCTCATTTTAATAGACTGCATGCTGCGGTGAAGATTGTAATCTCTGATGTATTCTTGTCTACATGACAGGGACACTGAGGGTCAGCACATGTGCTGTTGCTTTCTAGACACAGGCGGAGCCACAAGCCAGATCACTAGAGACAGAGAGACACACTGGCAATGTCCTTCCCCATCAACAGCCATTCCAGTCAAAACAAACAGTTAATAAGACTGTAAGCACTGAGGAAATGTCCCACTTTAACCAACATGCCAGAGGGTCAAAAGAAAATTTCTCTAAATAATTACAGCTGTGAGGCTGGAGCGTAGTCATGCTGGTTTTTGTTTGGAAGCGGAACCTTGGTGATTATAAAAACTGACAAGTTTGACTCTGCCTGACATTTTCTGCAGCTTAGTCTCTGTGTTGCTGGGTAGTGTGGTACTTTCGCTGTCATTTTTAATGATGGAATAGCTTTTTTAACATGTTGTGGCATAGAAAATATTTTGCAAGCAAGAATTTATCAGTCTTGCTTATTACTAGTCACTAGATAGGTTAGCAAATGCATATGAAATTAGCACTGCATAAACAAACAAATAAATAAAACTGTGCATACTATACACTACTATTTAAAATTTTAGGGTCTGTAGGTTTTTTTTAATGTCTCTTCTGCTCACCAAGGCTACATTTGCAACTTAAAATAACTTTTCTGTTTTAATATATTTAGTGTCACAAAACATTTCTTATAATTATCAATGTTGAAAACTGTTGTGCCACATATTATTTCTCTGGAAACCTTGGAATATTTTCCCTCCAATTTTCTTTGATTAATATAGAAAGTTCAAAAGAACAGCAATATTAATTTGAAATAGAATTGTTTGCAAACTTACAAACGTCTTAACTGTTACTTTTGATCAATTTAGTGCATCCTTGCTCAATAAAAGTATCAATTTCTTAAAAAAAAACATTAAAAAAAAAACATACTGACACCAAACTTTTAAAGGGGTCATATGATGCTTTTTTAAAGATCATTATTACTGTATACAGCTACTACTGTATACTGGCAGTGTATTGAAAGCAAGCAAAGACCATCTTGAAGAGAACCACACAGCTGTATATTTTACAGACACACCCCAAACAGAGTTAGTAGACAAGTCCCATGACGTTTCCCATCAAAGCTTATAAAATGACAAAATATAATACAATAAAAAATATAATACTACACAAAAGCAGTAGTTCAACTACCTTCCAAATAATTAACAGCTCACCACTGCAAAATCTTTTTTTTTAGCACAAATCAAAACAATACATCAAGTCATCAGCCTAAAACATCATTTTACAGCAGATTTAAACCAAATCAACTAGGATGGATTTGTATTACGCCAGAAAAGGTGATGATGTGGTCTGGCTGGATGTAATTACATGCACACAAAAAAAGCTGATAATCCTGTTAAGGTGGCTTAGTATAACCATAACCAAAAAACAGCACAAAACCTGTCAAGAAATCTGTTTTGAATTCTGCACAACTAGGCTCAAATGCATGCAGGAATGAGTAACTTACCTGCATGCTTTCAGCACGTCACTGGAGCTGGGGTAGATGGAGACAGAGGACCACGGGGCAAACGAGGGAGGCATGGGTTTATGACAAACCAGCGGAGATGCCACCTTCAAGGGGCTCTGAGAGTCCTCCAGACCTTTGCCATTGAGCGTGGGGCTGTTAACACTGTTCTGAGTGCTGTGATGGTCTGCAGATTTGGATGAGGGTGTGGCTGCGGACATGGCAGAGCACGGGGAGGAGGCCACCGAGTTTTCCTGCGCCTTAAGCCCCGGGTGCAGACTTGGGTGAATGTTGTTAACCTTTGTGCCGGCAGCCGTCAATCCACCGCAATTACTATGATTACTATCATTGGCTTTTCCAATCAACAAGGCAGAGAGCTGAGGATTGTCTGAACTAAGTACACCTGGTGAGCAGGGTTTCGCCCCAGCAGCGTCTGCCTGGCCCTGATGGACGTGATTAGGCAGTCCTTCTGCAGTGGCAGTGCTGTTAGGCATCCCTGCGAAATGCCCATTTCCTGAAGGCTTGCTCTCTTGGGTGTGAACCATGCCTTGCTGTCCACCTGAGGTAGCAGAGTGAGAGGAGCAAGGTGAGGGGATGTGATTGTAACTGGCCTCCGGCGCTAACGTGTCGCTGGCTGTGGCCGAATTTCCGACCTGATTTGGAACGCCAGTGCCGGCTGCCGGGGTAGGCTGGGAAGTCCCAGCGGAAGAGAAAGGCTGCTTGCCATTAGGACCTGCTGAACATGAACCTGGACTCTTCTGAAGCCCCTGCAATAAAGATAAAGTGAAAGGAATACTGGGTTAAGCAGTGAAATACATCTTACATCCTACCTTCATTCAAAACTAGAAAAATATTTATACAGTATATTTATACATAATACAGTAAATATTTATCCATGGCATGTAATATTTTGGCTTTCATCACTATGTTTATTTACCCTTCTTCAGAGAAAAAAAAAAAAAGATCCAAATTTTGAGCTGGAGAAGTTTCTGAAATGTGGATGATTTGCCACAGAACGACTCTAAAGAACTTCAATATTGTACATAACATGATAATGATCTTATAATGACGAGGACATTATAATCTCACCTGAGTGGAGTTGATGTGTTGGCTTTTCCACGGTTCATCATCCATGCTGCTGCTGGTGGGGGTTGTGCAGTTATGAGGTAGTGCGTGTTGCCGCAAGTAAGGCACGTTTATGTTGCTCCCCATTCCTGGGAGGTGATTATTGCCCACAGAGACGGTATCTGTGTTACCCAGGGTTCCAGCCGTGCATGGGGCGGGGCTTGCAGGGACAGGTCCATTGGCTATTGGCTGAGCAGCGCATCGTGAGTGGGCGGATGGAGTGCGGGAAAGAGCAATGTGTGGATGGTGAGAGGAGGATGTGGAATTAGAGTCCATAGGCAGTGAGGGGTCGGCTATAGGACCGTTGGACACACTGGGTCGTATCTGACCCATAGCATTCAGCCTCATCTGTTGGGCAGAGCAAGAGTGATGGCAAACCATCAATATTAAAATCTACCAAAAAGTTTGCAGTCTGCTATGCACCACTTTACACGATCCATACCTGCTGATTCTGTTGCATTAGACTGAGCTGCTTTTCCAACTGTTCCAGCATCTGCAGCTGCACTGGCTTCAGATTAGCCCTATTGGTCCGTAACTGTTCCAGAAGCTGAGTTAAAAAATAAAATAAAATAAAAAACTGAATAGTTTGCTTTGGATAGTTCATAAGAATTATGATTTTTTTTTTTTTAAGAAGTTTCTTATGCTCACCAAGGCTGCACGTATTCTAATAAAAATACAGTAAATCCAGTAATATTGTGAAATACTATTAAAATGTAAAAGAACTGTTATCTGTTTTAATATATTTTAAAATGTAATTTATTCCTGTGATAGCAAAGCTGAACAGTTTACAGATGTAGAAACATCCAGAATGAGCAACCAACCTGAAGCTTCTGTGGGGTTAAACTCCAGTTGGGGACTTGATGATGACCTGGAACATTTGCCCAGGAATCAGGTGAATTCTGATGGTGAGACAAGAAACCCGTAAATAATCAAACACTGCATGACAGTTGTAATAAGATAAAAAAAAAAAACTAAAATGCTGTCCTTTAGTACCCTGGCTGGACTAGCAGTCCTCTTCCTTTTGGCTGGGCCGGACTGGTCATCAGTCTGGCCAGAGACCATATGAGGGGGAAGAGACTGGCCTGGGATTTGGGACTGGCCTTCATTGCTCTGATAAGCTTTGCAGGTGTTCTGCTATTGGCAACAAATACAGAATTGTAGCTAGGACAGTCGCATGAACATTTCACTAAAGCAACCCAAATTGTTTTTGCACCACTTTGACAATGAAGCATCAATAATGATACTTTTCAGTGTCAAACTGCTCCGTTACACAATAAGCAAAAGGCCAGGTCAAGAGAAAGTTTATGCCAACTTTCCCACTCACGATTTTATCAGTTAAATATATGAGAAATATATGCTAGTAGATTTAAACAGTTCCCCAAAATTAGTGACCAATATGTTGAAACAAAGGATGATGTGTGTTGATGAGTGCAATGGTCTAATGAACTAGTGGAAATAACTTTAAACCTTAGCAGTTTAAGATTATTCTCCAGAAGCAATGTTACTAACAACATTGTTCTGTATGACTGGAAATTAAGGACCTTTTACTGGTACTTAATCATGAAGGCCTTACCACACAATTTGATGTTTCATTAAAGGAATGTCACAGGTTCAATACAGACCAAGCTCAATGGTTAAAAAAAAAAAAGTGGTGATGGGGCTTCTGTTGATTCAAAACAACTGCCTACAAACTACCCTTCAAAAGTTTGTGGTCAGCAAGATGTTTTAATGTTTTCAAAAGAAGTCTCTAAAGCTCAACAAAAGTTTCATTTATTTGATACAGTAAAAACAGTAATATAGTAAAACATGGTTACGATATTAAAAAAAAGTTAATTTTATTATATTATAAAACGTAATAACTTCATTACTTCAGTGTCACATGATCTTTCAGGAATTATTCTAATATGCTGATATGGTGATCAAGAAACATTTTTGATTATCATCAATGTTGACAGTTATGCTGCTTAAAATCTTACTGACCCCAAACTTTTAAATGGTAGTAAATATATAATATTTAATAGTTATCTGGTTGTACTGTACAGTAAATATCTTGTTGCAGCCACAACATATACTTTAAAAATAATAATAAATAAAAATTAAGTGACAAGTTTCAATTGTTTTCTGTTGTAAACAAAGCCACAAATGGCGCTAAGCTCAACCTGTACTGAACCCAAAACATTTCTTTAAAACGTCACAATGTCCAAGCTACCACTAACAAATCATTTTTGTGAGTCTAAAACCATTAGATGGTGTAAGAGTGGCTTGTCTAGTGGCTTGTCTACTGGCTTGTCTAGCTGATCTGTTCTCACCTGTTGTGTTGTGTTGAGCGCTCCCTGTCTGGAGGTGAGCTCTGCTGGGATTGGTAGGCTCCATGCCTCCTCAATACTAGGGAGCATTTTACTTTTACTTGGTAAACTACCTTGCGGAAGATTACACAACTGAGCCTAGAAAAAGATTGCGCAGAAAACATGTTCAATGTCGGATTCAGCTAAGCTTAAGTCAATGCAATGGTGGTATGCATGAAATCAGATGAAAATGACACTCATATCATTCTCAGTGTATAGTATGTCAGACAAGCGGACGTGATTCAACTCAAACAGGAAGGAACTCAAAAACGAACCTGGTAAACAAGGGAAAGCTAAACAAACAGATGGTTCCTAATTAGCTGCCACAGGATAATGCATCAAGCAACAATTCATATCTTCCATATAAGATTTTGTCACGACAAGCCACAAATGACAACAATGGTGTAGAAACGTTTGTGCTGTTTGCTTGGTTTCTATTTTGATGTGCAATACACAAACATTTCAAAACATTTCAGCATTTAGTAACAACTATATACAAATATACCATTTTTTATTTTCTGATTAGCTTTGCTGACTTTTCGGGAGGTTCCTTGTGGTCCAATATGGTAAAAGGGTTTCGGAAACCTATCGGCGATAGGACAAAGTTGTGTTTGTACATGGTCGTTTTAAGTGTTAGGATGGTGAGAAGAAGGTGATTACACAGCTCTGAGGTGAACACTTTAGCTTAAATGTCTTGAGCATTTCTGTCTCTCCCGAGAGCAATATAAACCAAGCCTGAAGCAACATCAGCCCCAAATGACCCCATTTACACCCAGCTACCAAAAAAACATGCAAACAACATGAGTGTCTCACTTTAATGTGCAAGAAATGCACATAAATAATAAATGGCAGCAGCTTAACATGATAAACAACAATCATTAAGAGCTTACCCAATTGAGCACCATGTATCTGCACTGGCCTCAGACTTATCAACAGACTGTCGGTAAGATATGAAGGCATCTTGGACCTTCCCAATACTTGAGTAGCACCTGCATGACAAGCAAAAACACCTCAAATCTGGCACATGAGTTGTAGAGCTTAAATTTAAGAATTATATTTATGTTTATGCATTTGACAAGACACTTTCAGCAAATTACACTGGATTCAAGATATACATTGAATCAGTTCATGCATCGTTTGAAAAGTTTGAGCTACACAAACTAAAAAGAGTCTCAGTTTCATTAAACAACTTGGCAGGACTACTTTAGGACACAAGCCAAAATGTTTGGATAAATCTATTCAATATATAACTTCAATATTGTAATTTCGAACCATGCATTGTTACAAAAAATAATAATAAAAAAAAACAAAAAAAAAAAACAAAGTAATGTATGTGGAAGTGGAATTTAATTTAATTCGGGTACATTTTTGCTTACCTGCCCAAGAAGTACCAAGACTGTCCCGAATTGGGGTCTGCTTCTAGGGACTTCTGCAGACACCGAATAGCATAGCTGTTCTTGTTGGCTTTATCTCCCAACTGTTCGACCGTGTGATGCATCCAGCCTGAGGGAGCGATGGGAAACATGACGATTAAATAAGAAATTGCATTCTCAACAAAACAACTAGAATACTCTCTCCCCCAACACGAAGCCACAGTGTGCACTATGGAGGCTGTTACACTGGTACTCATAAAGGGAGCAAATGGTTTGTTCTTGCTGTCTTTAGGGTAGGGTGGGGAGATGAGGTAGAGTAGGATCGGGGGGGGTTTCAACTACCACCAGCAGCTTCAAAAGATCCCAGCAAAGATGGCTCTGTCCAAACAGCCCCTCTCCTCTCCATTCCCAGCCAGCCAGAGGTTGTTAAGGAGAACGAGACAGTGTGCAGACAAAGAATTTCCCCCATGTGGCCTGGCTTCTCCTAGACACTGATCCCAGCCGAGCTCTTAACACCTGTGGCAAACGCCTGCACCCGGGACACGTTACTACAGCAACCAGACCACTGCCGACAACTGCAGGAGCAACGTGGCAATGGTTATATGGCAGCTGTTTTTTTTTTGCTTTCTTTTGGGACTAGCAACAAAAAGAAGCTCAGTGTGAGGATTCACAACTCGCAATTGTGCCAATTATTTAAATAATTTCATGATTTATTGATGCCTTTAACCCAAAGTACCTTGCAGACCGCTTCATCCTGGAGTGCTTTGCTCATTGGTGCCACTTTCCAGTTTATGGATTACTCTTAGCTCAGATTTCTAACCACACCATGGTATCCCAAAAGCAATCTGCACATTTATTATTAGCTATTGCATCTGGCAAAATTGCACACCCTCAAGAACTAGAGCATATCTTAGAAAACCTGGACTGTACATTTGGGGATGCTGTTATTGAGAACACCACTAGCAGCACTTGGGGAGATGGCATGATGCAATACATTAGTGAGGACTGTCTGAACTCTAAATTAATGACTTATGATGAACAATTACCTAACCTGAAAGTGTAAAAATGATTCAAAAACCTAAATGAAATATTCTCTCTTTAAAGGATTTACAATGTATTTCAAAATACACCTCATTACAAATCTGTGGAATTTGTAGCTGCAGAATTCCACAAACAGCTGTGCAGAATTCCAAAAATGTAAATGCCAGTTAAAATGAACATCCCCTCCCTCTGGTATGCTATTTTCCCCCCAACAAGACAGTAATATTTACCATATTTTGCCACATATATTACTTATTACCACAATCGGATCCAGATCTTGTATGCAAAATCTGTGCAGAAAATGTGACTAATCAAGATTGAAATCACACAGCAAACAATCATCTACATAAGAAACACACTATCGAAAATAAAGCCCAGGTTCCCATTAATTTTGGCCAATGAATTTTCATAACTTTTTCCAGCTGGTTGTGATTACTGGATGGATTTTTAAGATCATTTTATGAACACTGCAATTTACACAGTAATTTACAGTTGATGAAATATTTAATAGCTGAGCATAACTAGAAAAATATTTGATGACACAAATCAGGACTTTTCCATTACTTATTTTATTAACTTCCATGACTCTTCCAGGCATACAATTCACAAATTCTGATATTTCCAGGTTTTCCATGACTGTGGGAAGCAGGAAGCAAGTAAAACACACTCACCTAATTGTTGGAGCGTAGTTGCCTTCACCTGCACAGGGAGATTCTCTGTTTGTAACAGACTCTCGTAAGCTTCCTTTGCGATGCGGTATTTCTTCTGCAGAGAGACAGAGAAGGGGAGAGATGTTTTAACAGACAAAAGGGTCAGCGCTTTTTTACGGCCCCTCAGGGTGGACACAAAGGGCCTCGTCAAACTGACCACAATGTATGGTCTCCGGAAGAGAGGAAACACACTGGACACTGACCAGGCCAGACACAGGGACGCAGGAGGAGACAGACAAACACACAGACAGACACAGGGGGGAGGGTCAGTCCAGACCAGACTAGACTTAACAAGTCGGACAAGTCAGACAGGCATGCTCTGTATCAGTGTAACTTGAGAAGCACTCTCAGAATAAGTGTTTGTTTTTCTTAGTGACCTTGACACGGATCTTTGCTGGGGCTGATGGCTGACCACCATAACTGACCAACCTGAGCAGCACAACTCCAAACACACATGGTCTAACAACTTAAAAGCAAACTCATCTGTGTGTGGTGGACAATAAAATCAACCTATTGTAAAACTTAGGCTTTGGCTGGCTGGTTAGTGCAGTCATCATTGCTTACAGCAAAGTTTTGATAGAAACAAAGAGTACGTAAATTTGTTAATACAATTGCATTACATTTTCATTTAAGGCTAGGTGGATAAGAACTATGCTAGTTGAACAGAAAGGACTGACTGAGTGACAAGAGACTAACTAAAGGCAAGCTGAAGCAAAAGCAGGAGGGCAGGGTGGGGATCAGTTTGTTGAACACACACGACGTCAAGGTGGCACCCTAGAAACAAATCCATCAATCAAGAGTGTATGTTTGGGCAGGAGCAGTAAACTGTGAGCAAAAGAAAACCGCTGGACCAACAACACTGCCCTGTAACCTCTAGAACCTGCACCTTTACAAGCAGTCATTTACAATGCCAACAGAACACAACAGTAGGGTCCCGACAGTGTAAAATGCAATTCCATATGAAGTACTAGTGAAATCACAAGATTCACCAATCAGACAAGCTGACGGTAGCATGAAAATAGTGATGGCAAGTAGTAGTGCAGTTTTTGCAGGGAATTGGATGTTTTGAAAGTAATGTTGGGTAGTGTTTTCTGAAAAAACAACTAATAACGTCTAATTTTATCAAATTTTCAATGCTTTGCGGCAGGCATTTTCAATTATTTTAATGCTAAAAACTGTCAAATATGAAGATCTCATTGGGAATTCCTAAAATGTTCCTAAAATTGGGAAAAAAAGTGTTCATTTAAATGAATGCATTATATAGGGGATAGTTCAGCCAAAATGACTTTACACTCATGTTGTTCCAAACCTGCAGGAGTTTTTCTTCTGTTGAACACAAAAGAATATGAAGATTGTTGGTAACCAAACAGTTGCTGGAAGCCATCGACTTCCATAGTAAGCAAAAAAATAAAATAAAAAATACCATGGAACTCAATGGCTACCAGTTTAGTTACTATTCTTCAAAATATCTTCTGTGTTCAACAGAAGAAAGAAATTCATACAGGTTTGGAAAAACATGAGGGTGAGTAAATGACAATTTTCATTTTGGGGGAAATATCCCTTTAATAAATTAAAAATAACTATTTAAATGCTAAAACACACACAGAAAATCATATTTACATGTTTCTTTTTCCACCTCCTCAATATGTACTCAGTACAATATTTAACATATGGTTCTTGAAACCTCTGGAATCACGTAACAAATCATGGTTAAGTTAATATATCAATACACAATTTCTGCTAATAAAAGTTTGAATGTAAATAATAAGTAAATTTTTTTCTTTCAGATTTGTCATCTAAATGTTTGACATCGCAGATTCAACATCCTTTGCCTATCCCACATAGCCTTATCTTCATTTGCTTCAAATTAAACAGGGTATCTATGATGACTAAAGTCTATGGATTGGAATTTACTTCAGGAAACAAGGTCTCTGTAAAAAGCAAACAGTCACTGTTGCCATCTATACCATACAGAGCCAATAGAACATTATACCCCAAAACATGAGTATCAACGAAATATGCGTATTCTGATCAAATGTGACAAAAAATGGGAACACTCACCTGAATTTCATATACATGAGCGATGTGGAACTGAACTGAAGGGACAAAAAGAAGAACTGATCAATACCGGAAATCCTTTTCTGATGGAAACCATGCATTTAAATCTGATATCAGGCCAAAATTAAACCAGCGTTCTTTGTCTTCACTGTTTCAGCTTATGGGTGTACAGACACCAGGAAGGAAGAATATTAGCTTGCCCTTTGTGCAATTCAAGCATGTCATTACTGCCCGTATGCAAGGCAACCCACGGCAGAATCCAGTCATGCAGTTTCCTTGGCAACTGGTGTCTCAGGCAGGATGGAAATGGTAAGAGAAAAAAATCTAATTGAGGAAATATTCCTTTTTCCTATAAAAACCTCTCAATGAGACCCCACACTTCGCTGCTAAACAAAAAACCTCATGCATAATGTGACTGAATGCATTTTCCTAATAAAAAGATATGTAATAAAAATTAACACGCATTGGAGGGTACTTACTTTCAGCTTTGGACAAAGTGCAGGGTGTGGAGTCAATCAATGCCAGCTGAAAATGCTGCAAGACAAGGTAAAGTTTGATTAGACTGGATACAGTTAGTAACCCTTATAGAAAGTAGGTATTGTCTAAATTGTCATTCTGAAATCCTATTGTTAGATATGCCTAAATGATTTTGGCATCAAACAATCACACCAACATAATGATCCATCCAAAGAAACTAGCTACAGTGAAAGCACCTTTTCTTCTCTAACCAATGCTGTTATATGTCCAAAAATAAATTTGTTGCCTCTAATAATATGGAACGAGCCATATGGGACTAATAACACAAACCTCCATTGTTACAACGTCATCAAAAACAGATTAAACTAAATTCAACTAAATCATAATAAAATGTAATTATGAAATGGAGACTTTCAGGAAATTCAGGAAATCCATCGATCACTGTTTTCATAAAACCTCAACCACAATTTCATCCATCATACTAACTCATGACTCCACATCTGTTGAGACAATGATCACTGGCCATTTGGATGTTGGCCATAGACTTATGAACTCCAGCTGTATTAAATAACTGCAATTTTTAACCATTCAGAAAATGCCCGAGTGCTACGCATTCACCAGCAGCCAAGGTTCTAATCATTTATATGAGTGAATCTCATGAAACCTGTGATATTTCTGCAGGCTATGAAATAATGTTATGCAATAATGACCAAAACAATCATGTAGGTATTATTCCTTTTTATGATCCAATCAAATCCCATTGTCCACTCTTCAAACATTTAAACTCAGAAAGACAAAAGTAAAACAGCCACAAAAAAAGAGAGCAATTTTTGCTTAATTCATTCATTCATTCTCGCGCTCTCTCTCTCTCTCTATATATATATATATATATATATATATATACACATATATATATATATATATATACATATATATATATATATACACACACAAATTAAAAATCTAGTGGGGGGAAAAAAACAATAAAAAAAATAAATAAAATAGGGAATAAAAAAAAAGCTATTAAGGATGTCAACACAAAAGCAAAAAAATCAGATGCATTACAGTAATGAGAATTGGAAAAACTGGTCTTTAATTGGCATTGATATATAGGTCTACACATATATAGTTACTAAATGATTTTGACTCAAGAGATGAAACACAGCAAGGTCATGAGGATGTGATCCTGCAGTCAGAGACAGCTAGTGTTGTACATTATGTTGTGCACGGGGCACAGAAACACCCTCTGTGAGCAGCAGGATCATCACAACACTAATCACAAACCTTTTAACAACCCCAGACATGAAGACTCACCAGCTGCTCAGGTTACCAAGAAACCAGCCCAAAATCAAAGCCTTTGCCCTTCATTAAATAAAGCACTGAACCTGTCCCAGCATAGAGGTGCCTAGAGAAAACCCATCCACCTGCATAGCAACGACTAAGGAACATGGCCATGCATTACAATGTCCTGATGTCCAGACAGACCTCAGTACAGACCTCAAAGACAGATCACAAAAGGACTGATACTTCCAACAGTCCACATTTATAGCTTGCCTGTCCAATAAAATAGAATCACTGGAGTCAAATTAACAGACAATAACCAAAATAGACACCAAATGCACATATTTCTGAATAATGGAAATCTAAAGTTGAGTTAATTTAGCCATGAACTAGCATTGAAAGTCAAACATTTAACAATCTCAGCACTTACATGCCAACGAGTCATCACAACCATCTGTCAAAAACATACAAACACACATCTATCTGCTTCATGCAGACATCCTCCAACAAACAAAAACACGGATTACTGACCACAGAAAGCCCTTTGTGCTGAGCTGATCTCCACTGAACAACTGCTTCCTACATGCTCGCTCGCTCTCTATGGCTCTCGACTGGCAAGTAGATAATGCTGCAGGATTACCAGTGTGTCTCTCTCGCTCTAATACTGATTACTATTCAAGAGAAAGCAGCGGCAGCAGCTGAGAGATGACATGCTGCTCTCTCCTTCTCTCTCTCACTCCATACCTCCAGGCATTTTTCATCACACACACAACATATGGCAGCCATAAGCTTCCACTCTCTCGCTCTCTGCAGGAAATCAGCACACAGAGAGTACGCCTGCCGTAAGCTTTCGCTCTCTAGCTCTCTGCAGGAAATTGGGACGGAAGGGCAGGAGAGAATAGGGAAAACAACGTTGAGTAAAGCAAGAGGCAGGCTATTCAGTGCATCATATCAGCAGGCGTTACAACAGTTCTAATAATGGAACCAACACACTTTCAGGAAGTGTTCTTCATAAAAAAAAAAGGAAGATGAAGCGCAATAGAAAGCAACACAGCTGCATTTTTGAGCCAATTTTAACTCTACACAGCATCTTTACACAGTTTATGCCTAGAGCAAAATAGCAGCGATTCACGCCAAAGTGGCCTATACTAGACTGACAATTTTTTTTTAAATATATACGTCTAGAGACACATTCACAGATACACAATTGTTAAAAAATTGGGGTCAGTAAGTTTTTGAAAGAAATTATCAGTTTTATCTAGTAAAGGATGTATTCAATTGAACAAAATTTATCAAAAGTGACAGTAGGCCTGTCGCAATAATCAATATATCGACTTATCGCGCAATATATGTACATACCTCAATAATTTTTGGTGACGCAATATATAGCCCATTATATTTACTTAAAAATTAATGTCAGCATGTTTTGTACATTCCACTTGCGCCAGTGTCTTTTGCAGCTTCTCGTACATAACATGGTGTAGTCATAAGGTGCTACTGCTAGTTCAAATTAAAAAAATGCTTCTACAAAAAAAGTTTAATCTGCAGATATGGTCTTGTTTAGGGATCTGTGCCTTTGGAAACATCAAAGATGGAAACATCTCCATACAAGTTCTTTGTGCGTTTTTCTTTTTTTTCTACTTGTTACTTTGCACTTTTTGTTAGAAAATGTTTATTTACTATTTATTCAAGTTTTTTAAGGTATCTAATATTTTGATACTTAATTTCCATGATCTAAATATTTGTTGTCATTTGGAAGTGTGTAGGCCTTCTTGCATTATTATGCTGTTACATTATGATTATATATTCAGTGGCATAAAATGGTCTTTAAAATGACAATAATATCGCAATTATTTCTGGGGCAATATATCGCACAACAAAAAGTTGTTATCGTGACAGGCCTAAGTGACAGTAAAAACATTTACACAAGTTACACAAGACTTATATATTTTTTTTAAATGCTGTTCTTTTTTAACTTTTTTTCACAAGTTCCATAAAAATAAATATAAATCAACCCCAAACATTTGAACAGTAGCTTACATCACAGTTTAACCAAAGTATGGGTCTGATGTGAACAGCTCCTAACAGGCCCCTTTAAGGCCAGTCAGTTGATTCAAGCAGCCATCTTGATAATGTCCCTGTGCATTTAATTTATATATGGATAATGGACATACAAGAACAGCTCCTATCAACTAGAATGGTGAAAGACAGAAATCTCAAAATATATATTTTTTTATCTGGTCTAGTCAGTCAATGCGCATACTTGGTCTGAGTGAATCAAATACTATAGCTTTAAATTCTTATCTATAAATTCTTACAGCAGCCATATAGTGTGTTATAAATGCTTTTCATTAATATTTCTACATCAGATTGGTCGCCTTTCCATTATGCTGTAGCTGCAGTAACAATTTCTGTCATGAGAATTGAATAAGGTCCGTATGCAACACAACTAGTGATAAACAAATATAGAAATTTGAGCTTATGATTGTATTTATGCTATGGATGATCAACATTATTATTTATGGTCAAAAATTTATGGCCAACATACAGGGTATGCTTTTATAAGTAAATATAATAATAAGCTTAATATCACCTGGTACTAATTAATATTGAAACATACAAAAAAAACAACAACACAGGTTTATCACATATCTCTAAATGCAACTATGATTGAGCAAAGAATAAAAATCCCACAAATGACTATGACTATGCATAAATATAATTTCGATGTTAGAGTCAAATGCACATCACAATCCTGAACCGAGATCAAACTACTAAATGCAGATGGCGGAGTATAAATGTATCAGTTTATATGACAATGCGATGTCAGAAGGGATGACACTACAATAAACAAAGCATAGCGTTTTTGCAACACATTTACAACAGATACATTGTTTTAAAACGTAGGACTACAGTATATATATATATATATATATTAGGGATGCACCGATACCACTTTTTCCAGTACTCGCCCGATACCGATACTTTTATTTTTGGTACTTGCCGATACAGAGTACCGATACCGATATTTTTATTGCATTTGTACAATTTTTCAATATTGGGTACAGAAACCAAAAGGGTATGTATAATGTTAGTTGGTTAACTTCCTTTATCAAATAGATACAGTCAAACCAAAATTTATTCAGACACCTTCAACATTTCTCACATTATATTCGCTATAGTTTAGAAAATGGTAATAAAATATGACAAGAACTCAGAGTTACACTGTGTCATCTTGATGATGTTAGATAACTTTGATAGAAAGGTATGTAATAGATTACAATCAACCAAAATAA